CTGAGAGGACCAGATAGACTCTACCATCCTGGGTCCCTAGCAGCTTGGTCCCTAAGGTCACAGATACCTATGTGCCTGAGCCATAGGCATGTCCTATAGAGATGTTAGGGTGGGGGGCCAGGAGCACCTCAAGAACACCCCCGTGCAGAGAAATGCAGTGTGCAAAATGAAGTTCTTCATTGCCCTCAATTCCCCAAATGGTGCTCGACTTAAGCTTTGACAAGAAGCCAAGTTATTTGCTCTTATCACTCTGGCAGCATCGTGAGGAAAGCTGTGTTCCAAGGAGGCACCATGACACCCTGGGAGTCTCAATTATGACACTGTTCCACAGTGCTCAAACCTACCAGTCCAGGGGAGATGGCTCAGTGGATAGGGAAGTTCAGATTCCCAGGACTCACATAAAAGCTGAGTAGGTCTGACGGCTGGCTACCTGTAACCTCAAGGCTTACAGGGTGGAAGCCAGGAAGCTCTAGCTGTGTTTCAGAGACCCTGCCTCGGCAAACAAGGTAGAAGATGATGCTTGATGTCAACCTCTGACCTCCACACAAAGATGCCCACAAGCACACGAACACCTTGACATGATGTGAGGCCGAACACATGCGAATGTGTGTAACTGTATGCTCCAAGGGACGCTGTAACAATAAGCGACACACAATTACTGAAAGTAAAACTAAGTATTTTTTGTAGAAATTACTCACAAGATACCAAACAAGTAACCCAGATGAGCCAAGCAGTTTTCAGTTGCCGAACTGGAAGCCGAACTCCAGGAAAAGAGAGCGAGCCTTCCTGTGTGCTGTCTTTTATACCTTTCCCCGTAACGCCCCCTAGCCATGCCCAAAAGTGGACCTGGCTAGTGACGTAGTTCCGCCTACGTACGTATACGTCTTTATGTCCAGCCGTATATGTCTTTAGTCCTGCCTAAAGTGGGTGTGGTTAGCGGTGTGGTAAACCGCCCTTTTATTACCCCATCTGTATGCGCCTCTAATAAGTCACATGTTTAATGGCGGCATACAGACTTCCTCCTACAAATGTGTGTACCAGCACATGCACAACACACATATACAGACTCGTGTGAAGACAGCAAACAAGCTTTAAGGAGCAAATCTTGTCTTAGTTGTTTAAAAGGGAGAAATCAGCAGTGTGGCATATGACTTTCCTCAGCTTAAAGTGAGGTGTATATTCTCAGCAAATACATTGTTACAAGCTTGAAAGAGATCTTACTTCGCCTTTTCCACAAGATTCTAACTGCTAGCTATATAGTAACCAAACTTCTGAAAATTAAAAATTAAATGATGATAATGACTGGCCATTGTCACCAGAGAGACTCTGACTCCATGTAACTGAGGGGAGGAGGTTGTGGCCATCACAGCGTTTTCTTTCTTTTTTTAATTAATTAATTAATTTATTTTACATTCTGGCAAAAATTTTCCCTTCCTCGTCTCCTCCTAGTCATTCTCTCCTCTCTTTTTCTCCCCCATCCACTTCCTCCCACCCCATTTCTGTTCAGGAAAGGGCAGGTCTCCCATGGCTATTAACAAAACATGGCATATGTTCCAGGTTCTGGATATTACAAATAAAGTTGCTATGATGTAGTTGAGCAAGTGTTCTTGCAGTGTGATGGAGCATCTTGGGTATATGCCCAAGAGTGGTACAACTGGGTCTTGTGGTAGATTGATTCCCAGCTTTTTGAGAAACTGCTATATTGATTTACAAAGTGGCTATACAAGTTTGCACTCCCACCAGCAATGGAGGCGGGTTCCCCTTGCTCAATATCCTCTCCAGCATGAGCTGTCACTTGTGTTTTTGATCTTAGTCATTCTGACACATATAAGATGGAATATCAGAGAATTGTTTTGATTTTCATTTCCCTGATGACTAAGGATATTGAACATCTCCCTAAGTGTTTCTTGGCAATGTAAGATTCTTCTGTTGAGGATTCTCTGTTTAGATCTTTACTTCCTTTTTTAATCGGATTATTTGGCTTATTGATACCAAGTTTCTTTAGAAATCAGTCCTCTGTCAGCTGTCTGGCTAGTGAAGATCTTTTCCCAATTCTGTAGGTTGCCATTTTGTCCTATTGATATGTGTTATTTGCGTCATAAAAAAAAACTTTTCAATGTCATGATTTTGTACAAAGCCACATGTGTGGGTTTGAATGCCACCCTATTTACATGGAGATCAGACAACTTTTGTAGAGTTACTTCTCACCTTCCATCTTCATGTGGGTTCCTGGGTTTGAACTCAAGTCACCAGGCTTGTGCAGCAAGCTGCTTTATTCACTGAGTCAACTTGCCATTCATCCTATCATCATACAGCCACATGTCTTTAAGACCAGCCATGTGCTGTGTTGTCATGTCCTTGTGTTGGGCTACTGGGGAATCTAGCATATCATTCCCAGGATAGTGATTGCCATTTCACCATGACCTGACCTTTGGTCTTTAAGATTCCAAGAGAGAAGTAGTCAGAAAACAAACTTTTTCCTGATTATCTTTTTCTGAAGCATTTAATGACCTTTTAAATAACAAAGTGCTTTAGTGTATAATAATTTTATTTCACCTTTCCTATATAATGCAGATTCTCTCCTAAGCCTCTTGCATTTTCTGTTTGTCTCATAAAACAAACCCCCACAATGATATTACTATTATTATAGTAATGGTAGCAATTACTAACACTATAATAACAATAGTTAATGCTTAGGGGGTGGCATATAGGAAGAGTCACTGGTCTCCAACCAACACCTGCCAGAAGGGAAACTGACCAAGCACAGGTCAGAAGCTCTGGACCTGGGTGGAGGCCCGGGACAGTGGCTTCCCTTTCAGGAACATGCTTTGTTCACTTTCAAGCACATCATTACCTCTTGAGTTCTTGGCGCATGCACTCTCTGGAGAGTATAAAGTTATTTAAGTACACCTCCATAGTCTGTTGAAACTGTGAAATAAAGAGACATCAGACTCACATAGAAACTCAAGCTCAAGATCATTCTAAATGATGTTCATTTCAGCATCTTTTTTTTTTTTTTTTTTTTTTTGTTTTTGTTTTTGTATTATTTTGAAGCCTGTCCTGGAACTCGCTTGGTAGACTAGGCTGGTCTCAAACTCACAGAGATTTGCCTGCCTCTGCCTCCTGCGTGCTGGGATTAAAGGCATGTGCCACCAACGTCTGGCTATCTCTCTCAACTCTTGTTCTGCTCCTTGACTGTTTGTGTTCCTTGATATGATTTTCAGACAGGTCCACAAAGCATGTGTCAAGTTTGCTGAACCTGGGGCCTCTGTGTCTCCTCTTTGAAAACACAGTGGAGACACCAGGGCTCTTTTCTACTTTAAATGCTTTTTCACTGCCGTGGGAGCCCAAGGCTATAGGTGGGTCCATGTGGAATCCATCTCTGGACCTTTTCCTGTTCATTCCTGCCTTGCTTTCCTCTGACACCAGGATCCTCAGGTTAGGGTCCAACAGCCCAATATTAGCTCCTTAGGGACAACTTGGGGTCCCTGGGAGGGAATTGGGACAGTTTCTCTTTAATTCAGATGATCTACCTCAAGACTGACATAGCCATCTCTTCCTCAAACAGCTCATGGCTTTTCTCATCCTGAAAATTACATTCAAAAGCCTGAACAGTTAAAGATGGAGTTGGTATTGGAAGGTTTTGCTCTTTAATCAAACATGACTTCTGTCTTTTGTAAGGACAGAAGCTCACTTCTGCGCTTATGTGCTGATGAATAGTCAAGACGAAAAAGAGGCCACACAAAGACCCATCCCCACTCCTGGTAGGAATGAGCCACAAAAGGGAAAGAACGGATAGTTTGTCTGTTCCTCTACAACCCCACCCCCACCCCTGCAAGAGTGATTCTTTCTTTCTTTCTTTCTTTCTTTCTTTCTTTCTTTCTTTCTTTCTTTCTTTCTTTCTTTCTTTAATTCATTTGAAAACTTCTGTCTCCTGGCTCAGAGTAAAATCATGTCCAAGAAATAGAAGCAGAATATAGAAGACAATGAAAATGCATTTTATCATCCATGTTTTTGTACAATCATACAGGGTTATCAGTGCTCAAAGACCATTCAAGAGGACACAGCTGCCTATGCTATTTTAGCCCACATTTATACACTTAATACTGGATTGCACATACCTTTTAGTGTTTAAATAATCAAAGCAAATAGCCACTCCATGTTAGTGGCTGCATAGAAAGACATCATACAGGCATTACCTAATTTAATTTAGTGGAGAGTCCTTTATTGACGCACATTTATTCTTACAATTATTCACATTTTAATCAATGTTGTCACAGAATCACTTGTGTACATTTTCTGAGAATAAGTTCACAAGGGACAGTTCTCTAGTCTTAGATTTTTTTCAAGTCTAAAACAATGCTTCCTCAAAATATTCCACTTTGAACATGTGTTGACTCTGATGCAAATTATACATACAGGTATCTTCAATATTTCTATGTAGTCATCTAATCTTGTTGTGTAAACATTTGTTTGTCTTTGGTTTCTTCCCCATCTCCTGGTGACTTAACTTGATATACAAGGTTTTGTATGCAAATTTTAAAGAATAATTTAGGGATCACTCATTAATGTTTGTCATTTGGGGAAGACTTTGCTTGCTCTAGAGTCTTTTGTTGCAGGTTAGTACATTTTTATTCTATATTTTTCTCTAGCACATATCCATCTCTCCCCCAAGAGCACACACACTCATTGTCTCAATAAATCATGAGTTACATGTCTAAAAATTTTTGATTTTTGCTCACTGCAAAAATAGAACATCAAATCTTTAACATCAAATATATGACATGTTTTCATTTTGCTTTTTTTTCCTACACAAAGAGTGAAGATGGCCAACTGTCAGACTCCTGGTGTTCAAAGACCTGGCTGAGCAGTCCCCAACTGGAGAAGGATCTTCATACTGTGCAGCAGGCAGTGGAGAGAGTCATAATTAGACAATGTGCTAACAATAGGAAGTTGAATGTCCAACCCCAAGAGGACAGCTGTATTAGCCCTCCCACCAACTAGGCTCAGGGAACATGGAAGAAGAGGAGGTAGAAAGGATGTCAGACAAATAGGATGGGGAGCAACAGAGTGAAATACTGTCCTGTGGACACAGCATGGTTATTGCATGAATAAACTCACAGCCCTGTGTCCTTCTGTACAAGATCAACCAGCCAAAACTCCCAGAATTGATGGGTAAGATGATCTTCAGGCTCCATCCCTTACTGGGGAGCTATTGAACGTTGATAGTCACTGGGGCAGGGAAAAACCAATCTTTTCTTTTTTTTTTTTGAGGATGTGGCCATGGTAGGATTCCTCTGTTCCAATGGGCAGCTCCACACCCATACACATGTGGCCAGCAGTAACTGGACTTGGTGTACTTTTTTTTTTAAGACAGGAAGTTAGGATGGAGTTTCTGCTCAGCAGTGGGTCTGTATTTACTAGGACACATTTTAGCTCCTCAGCTCTGTTTTGGGGGTGCTGCCACAAAGGCACCTACATCACATCTTGCTTTTTTGGTAGAGAGGCTTAACATACGTGTCTCTACTTTCTCATGAGTCATGTGATCATTATAATACTTCCATTCATTTTCAATCTCATCATATTTTATATTGTAACTTTCCTTTGTAGACATATTGTAGAACTATTTTGTTCTGTCTTAAAATCTCTGGTGGCATTTTGTTTACAAATCCTTGAATTTGTGAAATAAGTTGTGGAGAGTTGAGGCTCTAAGGAATGTAAATGCTCCATTCAGGAAACAAGTTTTCTCAATATAGACATTATAGGCTTGAATATGCAACACAGGTTTAATATTTATTTGATGAGACAAAACACATAAAAATTGGATACAAATATATCTGAGGTCAGCGGGACGAGGTATGCAGGCTTCACCTTCCAGCCTAGATCACAGCTACTGTAGGCTTTCCCAGACACCAGGCTGGAACATTAAATGTGGGACCTAGAGACCGAGACATCCTTTCTCTAAAGAGTAATCCATGTTTGATCCGTCTCTTATGAATTAATAGGGGAGATCACTGAGTGTTCTGAACCAAGGGTTGGAGCTCTGAACACCTCTGGGCAGGAGCGATGTTTCATCTCCCCGTTGCCTGCTGGTCACATGGGAGTGTCCTTTCATTTAGTGGAAGTTTGTTCTGTCTTGCCAACTCCAGGGCAGCTTTGTCCTCTACCTTCCCTTTGTCTGCAGACCTCATCACCATATGAGCTTTGATTTTTGTCTTTGCTAAGTCCTGAAACTTAATTCAAGAAAATGCTAATACATTTAGCCTGGACGTGTACAAAACCTAACATTCTTTATTCTCCTGTGTAACAAAGCTGTAAGCCCATTGTCTCCTATTAGCAAATTAAGACCCAAGGCAGAGAGATGCAACCCCATGCTTTGGAATTGGGACTAGGAAGCAGAAGCAGGCAGCAGAAACAGAAACCTGAGCTCTGTACTTCACAGACTCCTTGCCTGTGGGACTGGGCTGCATCACCCCAGGCTGTGAAGTAGGGACCACAGCAGTACACCAAAGTCAAGGAAGAGGAAGAGATCTTCATGAATCCTTTGATGAAAATCAGTTTTCTATAGCTCTTCTCCAAATCTGAAATCTGATGGTATCCGGGCAACTGGTCACTAAGGTGCTATGGCTGACCGTGACAAGGGCATTGTTCTTGGAAGACTGAGCAGCTTCTGCCAACGCTGGTCTTCCTGTCAGTGATTACCTGCTGGCCTGCCTAACCAGCTCCCTGGTCCTGGACTCTGTTCATGAAGGTAAGAGGAAAACACACCTGCTGTGTCTGAGCATGGCCCATACAGGACCATGAATGACCTCACTGGATATCCCATTTCATTTGATTGACAGGAAGGATATCTCTACAACCATGAAAACTGAGAGGTGATCATGACAGGTCCAGCTGCTGCATGAGGGAGAGCCTGCTGCCAAAAAGACTTTGCTGATCTGAACTACTCTGATGGTGTTTGCCCTGCTTTCTCTCTCTCTCTATATATATATACACCTAATTCTTTAAAAAGCCATAGGAACTGATATTTAAAATACCTGACCCAGTTCATCAGGGCCAAAAACCTGTGGCTAAGGTGGTCAGGCCCCAGGAGAGAACCTACTACCATGATTCGGCTAAACTGACACATTAGTAAACTGCTTCCTATGGTTTATCAATACAGCCAGTTACTGCATCCATCAACTTAGTTGGTGATTAACACAGAGACCCACATGACTCAAAGTGTAGCAAACTAGCAATGCAGTGTGTTCAACCCCAGCTAGGACATCTACACCACACACACCCTCTTGAGTCTCAGGGGCTATTCTGGAAGAAGAAGGGGTGGGAATATTGCAAGAGTCAGAGGTGGTGCTTGAGCATAAGAAAACTCTATTTTCTGAAGACAACAGTGTGCTTGCACATATGAACTCGCAGCAGTTGTGATAACACGCATAGGACCTGTGCAAGCTCAAGCAATTTAAACTGGCAGCCTGGAGAGGGAGGTGGACAGCAAGTCCCAGCCCTAGCTGAAGACCCCACATGGGGTCTGACTTAGTCACCCTACACAAGACACATCCAAAATTAGAGTCATCTGGTCTCCAAATAGCACCTTGAACATATGAGATTCTCAAGAATAAAAATAATGAAAACGTCCCAGAAGAAACGAAACTCCAAGTGCTCTCAGATTCGGGGCGTTTTCAGCAGTGGAATGCTGTCAGAGAATCAGCCAACAGCTCTCACACTTCTGATCCACATGCTCAATGTTTGTATCTTCATTATCTATCTCTATGCACTTTCTTTTCAGACAAAAGAATGGAAAAAGATGAATATATTTTATTACTACATAACCAGTAAGAACTCGGTGGAGAAAAATAAATAGAGTACATCTTAAGGAAGAGAAACATAATTATGTTATCAATAGGAAACCTGCGCACATTTTTGCATGGTTCAAGCTGGTTTTACTTTACTGTCCTTACACTTGGTGCTTTTGCAATTTTATGCTGCTTTCTCTAAGCATCAAAATTTCCCACTTCATTACATATCATTGACAAATAGAATTTCAATGTGTTTACCTACTATTCTATCACACAAATACATGGTTTTTTTCTCATTAAAAAACCTAATCCAAAGACTCAAAGGTGGTTACGTAAGTTGCTATAATATTTAATTTAACATTTAATTACATTTAATTTCATTTCAATGGGATCACTTTACAAAGTGGAACCACTGGGCCTACGTTGTCATCATTCTGAGTCCCATTGCTCCCGCTTCCAGGTTGATTTCCCACATGCTTTCTGCAGTTGTAAGAGGCGTGTCTAAGAGGACCTGTGTCTCTCGATGCGGTGGAAAATGTTTCATAGTGTCTGCTCAAATTTTATCTTAGCAAATTAAAACAATTCAGTCGTGGATCCTAGCCCTTGCCCTGGCTGTCACTCTATTGGATTTTGTCCCATCACTCTTAATAAAAGATATGGACTATATTGGAAAGAAATTATCATCTAACAAATGACCTTTTATCTACATGGGAAGGAAATTGGCTTTGTGCCCTCTCATGATCCTAGCTCCTCAGTGTAAAAGGAAACCTTGCTGTGACTAATATAGGTTATGGGACACTCAGACAATTTCCTTAGTTTTTTTTATTGGTGGTGAGACCTGCTTATGCCAGCCACCTACCAATTTTCTATGCCATCCATTTTTGGAGAGGTCAAAATGTAAGAATAAGGATTGTAGAAATGTGTTTCAGATGTGTCCCTCCCCACCTTCCTCTTTCTCCTCTTCACAATTAAACATTTCTGCCACCTAGGGGTATTGATGAAGAAATTTATACATACATTGAGCAGACTAAGCATGTGTGACAAAGATTCAGAAAGAAATAAATACTCCATCAGTGAAGTATGTAAGTCACACCCATGATTGTGTTTTCCCATCTGTTTCATAATAATCGGTTATCTTAAAGCTAAGTGAGAGTGGCATGCTGGGAAATATAAGGCCTCCTCTATCAAGACTAAGAACACTTAGGCCACCTGGGTGAGGACTTCGTGGTGATCTTCTGGTACTTGGTGCCTGCCTGCCTGCCTTTTGGGGACCTTTGGCATTGTTTCTCACCTGTGGCAGTTTGAAGCAGCCAGGAGACAGGTCTCATTTGAAGAACATTGTTTTGTGGACTTCCCTCCATTTATACGCTGTTCTGTATTTCACATTTATATTTGCTTATGTTATAATAACCTGTAACATTAGGGGATGGCCAAGCTCAGTCACAGTAGAAAGAGAAACCCATGTCATCTAAAGCAAAGGTGAAACCCACCCATGGGTGGCTTCCTAAGGCTGTCTTGAGGCCACAGGGGACATGAATGTAGTCAAGTTTTCCCCTGAACTAGAAAAAAAAATTGTCATCATTTTTAAAAAGTTAAAATTTACCAAGGTGAAAAACATAAACATGCAGCTCCATAGTAAAGGCTCGGTGTTGTTTTGCCTTGAAGGATCTAATAGACATAGAATGACCAAAATATGTAGAAAAGATATCTGGATTTTTGCTTAAGAAGTTTGCTGTTCTTTATCAAGGCATATGAATTGAGTCTGTCTTGCAAATAAATACTATGAGATTTCTCGCTCTCTGCTTATCTAGGGACATGAGGCACTGATGGTCAGACAGACAGGCAGTTTCACCTCCTTCTATGCCAGCATGTTAAACAAGCTGATTGATCAGAGATGTCCTCCAAGTCTTGGGGAATTTGAAGAGAGAGGGAAGTGTAGTGGATATGGAGTTGTTCTCTAGGGTCAGAGAGGTGTCCTTATGCTCCGGTGATCTTCTGTCCACCAGTCAGGAAAATCAGCCATGCTGACTTTCTTCTATCTCCCCTTCTCTGGCAATATGATGTTAGGACCAGGGTTTTACAGAGCCTGGGATTTTCTTCACGGTGACAGGTCTCTGCTAACTGCATAGAAGTATCCCTAATTGCACCTATCCGCCCTGGGGGGCAGGGTGAGTTGGAAGGAGCCATGTAAATGTCAGGCCTTTCTACTCTCATTATGGCCTGCCTCTGTCCAAGCCTACTGTTCCCAGGAAGGGTGGGGCTCTCTCTTCTTTATCTTGACAGTTTTGTTCTAAAATTCACTGCTGTGTAGAGGGCAGAGGAAGATGCTGTTTGAAATGGTTGCCCGTATGCACAATATCTGAATTCAGAACTCACGGATGAGAGCAATGAATTGGCCGTGTAACTCTCACTCTGACTCAAAAGTGGATGCAGGAATGTGCCAGAGATTCCCATGGAAATATGTATGACTGAGCTCTGTCCCATACCAGAAGGACCTCTCATGATACCATGTCTAAGGCAAAATAGACCGAGACATTGGAAATCCTCTCCATTTGGAATTTTTTTAACCTGGAAGGTGATGTATATTTGTTTTGTTCTTGATTAAGCTAGGAAGTTTTGCTAATAGGCTTTCAATGTGAAGTTCTCTGACACTCGGGCTTTGGAACATTAAGTGTTGGTAGACCAGCTAGGAAGAAGGTGGGGCAGGAGCTGCACAGCAGTGACTCTGGGGGTGGTGTCTTAGGGTTTCTAATAAGAGAAATCATGACCACAGCAACTCTTATAAAGGAAAACATTTAATTACTGTGGGTGGCTTACAGTTTCAGAGGTTTAGTCCATTATCATCATGGTGGGACATGGCAGGCGGCATGCAGGCAGACATGGTGCTGGAACTGAGAGTCCTACATATTGATATGCAGGCAACAGGAAGTGGTCTGTCTCACTGAGCACAGCTTGAGCAAAGGAGACCTCAAAGACCAACCCCACAGTGACACGATTTCTTCAACAAGGCCACACATACTCCAAGACCACTCCCTCATTTTGGAGGCCATTTTCTTTCAGATGCCCACAGGTGGGAACTGCACAGTGGTGACTCTGGGATGAGCTCTTTGCAAGTTGGCCTGGTTTCTTTCTTTGCTCTGTGGGTTTGTGCATCAAGAGGAGTGCTTAGCTCTACCTCTGCCTCTCTAACAGGAGACCACAGAACCTCTCCGAGGCATCATGAATGTTTACACTAAGAACGGATTTGAGATGCTTAAAACGTTTAGTGTTTTGTCATAAAATCTGTTAGTTATTCATGAAGACTGATGACAATTTTACAGTAATAATGCATTTAAGCTGTGAAAGTGATAGGGACTAACCTATATGTAATGTAATACTTTCCTATAGAAAAATTATTTTGTTGAGTCTTCAGATAATGGATAACGGAATAATGGATAATATTACACTGTTTGACAATTAGGGACAAAATACGTATTTTAAATGAAACACCTTACAGAGAAACAATTGATAAATTTTTGAGAAGATACCAGGCCCTGGATTCCCTAGGTATCTATTAGAGGGGGTCTTGCATTGGTGGGATGATGTATAAAATAATTCCCCCAAATCAAAGATGCTGAGCTAAAGTTGACTGTCTCAAAGGATAAGCACTGGATGCTTTTCCATGTGACCCAGTCACAGGCAAGTGCCACACCAATGTTACAAAGCACAGAAAATGTTCTGCTTTGGAGCAAATGGAAGATTTCTTGGGAGTCACTGAGGGTACCTATGTGTACTGCAAGGGATGCTGGGAAGACAGACCATCTTTATGTGCCCTATTTGATGGACTCAGCCAGTACACTGGGAGGCTGAGCATTGCTGAGCTTCAAACATGCACGCTTCTGAAACCTTGGCCAGGAGAGGGCAGCATGAAGACCCTGCGCTGTCCCTGGGGCACTCTTACTGTTTCCTGGACGTGAGATCCCCAGTTTTTTAGGATTAAATGCCTGCAGTGAATGATGCATTTATTCACTGTTCTTTCTTTTTAAAAACATGTATAATAAATGAAGTATTTGAGCCAATTTAAATAAAGGTTTATGTTTTTTATTTTGACGTGTGTGTGTGTGTGTGTGTGTGTGTGTGTGTGCGCACGCGAGCGCACGCGTGTGTGCGTGTGTTGGAGTAGTACATGCAGATGGGTATGGG